AAATCTGATGAAAATTACTCACAGTGCTTTATAAAATTATGATGTGAACTGAAGTCTGTGAAAACAGAGTTCTGAAACAAGACCTGAATGATGATATTTGTAAAGAGACTGAATAAAGACATACAGAATAAGCTTATTAAATAAGACTCTAAGCTCTTGATTCTGAAGAAACTGATGACTCTTATTCACTGCTTACAGATCACTGTGAGAGTCACAGACTTATAAAGAGTGAATCACTGATCAGCTCTGTGAGAGCTAGAACAACAGAGAATAGATTTGCTAGAAAAAGATAATAAGACACAGAGTTATTCATGTCTGACTGCTGAGTAGAGAGAGAGAGCTTCATAAGCTTCTGTAAACAGAGTATATAACAGAGAGATTAAGAAAAAGAGACTCTGTTTCATCTGTTCTAAATCAGAACATCTTTACACAAACTGTTCAGATAAATTAAAATAGAAATTTGAGAAGTCACAGACAGAGTCAGCAACAGTCTTTTTAAGAGTCTTAAAGCTGACATCTGAATCTGTTGCTTTCTCAATGAAAATGCTTGCTTATGAGAAGAGACTGCATTATAATACTGCTGTTCTACAAGTATGAAAAGTATTGATGAACTCAGAATCCCAGGTCACTGTAGTGTTTCTAAGGCTCACAGAATGAATAAGCTGAATAATGAAAACTGAGAACCTACTCTTATAACAAGCAGAACATGAGAACTCAGATCTGAGAACTGAGAGACTTATAAGAGTCATCTTTGAATTGTAAGATCTCTCTGAAACCTGGAGAAGATTTGCAGAAACTGTGATTATTATAGACATCATAGATAACATGTACTTAGAACTTATATAACTTCAAAGACATAATTCACACATAGCTGTCTGTGAGTCAGGTTTATACTTCTGATCAGTGTTGATAGACTTACTCATGAAGATAGAATTAGTTAATACTGTAGAGTTAATTAGAGAAGATAAACTCATCTATATAATGACTTTATAAGTGTCTGAGAATCTTGCAGTCATGAAAACTGAGCTTCAGATATCAGAGAAATACTGAGATCTTGTAGAGATATTCAGCTCAGTAAAGACAGCTGAACTTCTCTCTTATTATAAGAAGAATCTGATAATAGATTTAATAGAAGAGTAGAAACTCTTCTGAGAATCAATCTATAAGCTCTTTCATTATGAGACAGAGGTCTTACAGATCTATATAAAGAAGAATCTGAAGAATGACTTTATCTGATCTTTACAGATCTCTGTGAGAGCCTCTGTGATATTTATAAAGAGAAAGAATGAAGATCTCAGATTATGTATAGACTACTATAATCTGAACTTCAAGATAACAAAGAGTTACTATTCTCTATCTCTGATTGAGAATGTGATTAACTGTCTTATAAAAGCTGTTATATTCACACAACTGAATGTGATTAATACATATACACAGCTGTGAATATAATCTGAGAATAAATGAAAGACTGTCTTTAGAACTGTACTGAGATTATTTAAATATCTAGTGATGTCTTTTGATCTGACTAATGTCTCTGTGACATTTCAGTCTTTCATTAATAAAACACTTCATGTATATCTGAATGTCTTTATGATAATATATCTGAATGATGTGATAGTGTACTTTATAAAGAAGAAAGAACACACTGAGCATGTGTGAAGTATATTGAAGATCTTAGATGAGACAGAACTGTATATTAAGCTTACAAAGTGCAACTTCAGTGTCTGCTGAATTAATTTTCTAGAATATATAATCACTGTAGATAATATTCAGATGAAATCTTTATAAGTTAAGACTATTCTATCATGACTGAAGTTAACTAGTATTCATGAGATTCAAATCTTTCTGAGCTTTGTGAATTTCTATAGATGATTTATCTTTGTATTTATAAGAATCTTCTTGACTCTTACAGATATGCTGAAGAATGAAAATAAGAAGAAGTTATTCTATGAATAGAGAATGAAAAGATTATTGAGAAGAAAGAACTGTGAAAACTTTCTTATTTCAGAAGCTCACAGAGTCTTTATAAGATTAAAACAGATATTCATTAATACAGTGATACTGTTTCACTTTGATTTCTTGCTCTTAATTAGATTGAAGACAGATGTCTTCTTCTTTATAATTTCAGAAATAGTCTTATAACTACAGTTAAATGAGAACTGAGTTTCAGTGGCCTTTTTCTTATGAAAGATGTAACTTATGAAGATTAACTATGACATTCATAATCAGAAGCTTCTTATAATAGTGAAATTCTTCTGTCACTGATATCACTACTTTGAGAACCTTGTAACAGTGATTACTATTAGAACTGATTATAATAGCTTATAACAGTTTACTTCAATCAAGAAACTCTCACAGTGATAGATTTACTAGACTCAGAGACTGAGTGAGTTCTGATTCAAGATAGAATATATTAAGAGAACTAAGAACTCAGTGAATGAACTCTCTCACAGGCCAGACTATATTAAGAAGACTAGAGTGACAGATATAGAGAAGCTAGAGAAGACAGAAAAGCTTTGCAGAATGCTTGAACTGAGTGTTATAAAGAGATTGACTGAAGAGTCTCTTAATCTCTTATAAGAGAAGAGAGAGAAGAGAGAGAAGAAGTCTGTACAACTACTCTCTATAACACTGAGAGTTAACACTCTGAGAATCTCTGTGAGAATTCTTGAAGAGAGTACTCATAATCTGAAGAATTTACAGGCCTTGAGAAGTGTTATGAAAGATCTGATGTAAAAAGAAACAGAGTATAAGTCTTTATAAAATCTTCTATTCAGATTGTCTGAACTACAACTGAAGAATGAATATGCTCAGTATATTCAGAAACTGCTCACAGCAGAGACCAACTCTGCAGAAATAAAGAATTGAAGAAACTTAAATAATCTCTTGTAAAGAGAGGACTGAATTTATATGTCTATGAATGAGTTTCTATGTATAGAACTTATTAAAAGGCATCATGACTCTTCTCTAGCAGATCATTTTATAGACACTAGAACTTATAAGTTGTTTACAAGGAAATACTTCTGACTGAAGATATGAGAACTTATGAAAGAGATAGTGAATTCTTATACTGTATATCAGGGTTTTTGAGTAGTGCAGTTCAGATTATATAAAGAACTTACTTCTCTACTCATTCTGTAGAAACCTTGAGAATAGCTAGAAATGAATACTCTTATAAGTCTCTCTGAAAGTAAGAACATATATAATGTCTGCTTTGACAGTGTACTAATGATAGTGAATTACTTTATCAAGATGACACACTTTATACTCATCTGTAAGAACTTGAAGTCAAAGAATTTGACTTATATCTTTATCTGTAATGTGGTTCAGTTGCATGAGTTATCTATGAATATTATCTCAGACAGAGAATCAATCTTTGTAGAAGAGTTCTAGTCTGATCTGATAACTATACTGAAGATCTTGTAAGATTTAAGTATGACTTTTTATTATAGATAGATAATCAGACAGAATATCTGATGAATATATTAAAACAGTATCTG